CCTTGCCGTTGCGGCGCCCGCTCGAAGCAGCGCAGTCCCGACCTTCTCAGCACCAAGGAGGTCGACAGCAGCAGCAGAGGCGACAGAGGGAAGAAGGGGGGAAGGGGAACACCCCTTGAAGAAAGGGGTGCGGGGATCGCCACGAGAGGCACCTACAGCGACTATGCTAGCCTCAGCTGCAAGGAGTTCCTTCTCGAGGAGGGCAATGGTGAGCTCAGTGGGGCAGCGAGCTAGGAAGTGGTCCCTGACTGAGCGCAGAGTGTCAGGGAGGCGGGTGACTAGGTGGTAGAGAGTGAGCCAGAGTGGGGGTGGGTTCTTGGCAAGGAACTCATCAGGCATGGCGGCGCGGAAGCGAGCCTCACTAGTGCGGAGGTGCGTAATGAGGTCAGCGACTGTGTGGAAAGAGGCTAAGTCGGGGAACAGGTAGGGAAGAGAGAGACGGCCTAGTGCGGCAGAGGCCGGTGAGGAGTAGCGGGCAACGACAGCAGTGTACAGTGCCTGTGCCGTCTTGTGCTGCCCAAAGTGCTCGCGCTCATCTATCGGCAGGGAGCTGCGAATAGCAAAGCGAGCGTGGGCGTCACGAGTCTGCCACTGTGAGCGGGCAGTGCTGTCAGCAGTAGCAGCAGGAGCAGGAGCATGGCCTAGGGCGTGATCGTACAGTGAGATGTCCTCCTTGGCAGTGAGCTGTAGGAAGAGGTGTAGGTCATCTAGCCAGGTTTCGAACTTCACTGGGCGGCCCTCAGCATCGAAAGCCAGCACAAGAGGGCTAGCCATAGCAGTATTAGGAGTAATAGCAGTAGGGGCACCCCAAAAACAGTAGGAAGTGCGACTCAGGTAGGGCGGCTCGGTCCAGTACGGGCGGCGCGGCTCGGTTCAGGTAGGGCGGCGCGGCTAGGTTCGGGAGGCGCGGCTCGGTTTGGGCTGGGCGGCTCGGTTCGGGCGGCTCGGTTCGGGCGGCTCGGTTCGGGCTGGGCGGCTTGGTTCGGGCTGCTCGGGTCGGGCGGCTCGTTCTGGGGGGGCCGTTCGGGGCCTCTAGGGGCGAGCGCGGGGCTATAAGGGGCCGCTAAGGGCGAGCGCGGGGCCGATCGAGGCCTCTAGGGGCGAGCGCGGGGCCGTAAGGGGCCGCTAAGGGCGAGGGCGGGGCCGACGGGGGCCTCTAGGGAGGTGAGCGCGGGGCCGACGGGGCCGTTAGGGGCGATCGCGGGGCCGACAGGGTCGCTAAGGGGCGAGCGCGGGGCCGTAAGGGCCGAGCGCGTGGGCCGACGGGGCCTTAAAGGGCTGCGCGCGAGTCGCTAAGGGGCGGGTCGCGGGTCGCGGGGCCTTAGGGGGCCGTGAAAAACGAGGCGCCCTAGGGCGCAGTTAGGTAGGTAGGTAGGAAGGTAGTGGTGGGCCCTAAAAAAAACGGTCCTAGCGAAGGACCTGCTCTATACCATGTTGAAATGAACGAACAGGGATGATTGAAGTAACAGTGAAATCAGTACAAGTACCTAACCCTAGAATTGTGTACCCCCTATAGGCTAACCCACTGTAGCCTAAACAAGCACAACATATATAATGTTTGACAAGATCTTCCACCACTTGTTTCCCCTTGGCAGATGCACGAGGCATGGTGCAATGATGACTAGAGCCCGATAGAAATGTTGAGAAAAGGGCTTGGAATGCATGATATGCCGGTAGTCTGAGCACAGTGTTAGAGGTCCACTGGTGATCCCCGATTGATCCTAGGGAAGGGTTACAGGCATGTTGGCCTGGGGGGTTATGGGCGCACTGACCCGCTACTTAACAAGCCCTTTTATCCCAGTGGTCTAGTGACTAGGATTCTGACATGGTATCAGAGCAGTCTCGGGTTCGATTCCCAGTGTATGCACATGTAGGCCGTTGCCGCTGTGCTTAAACCTGGGCCTCCCAGTGTGAGGGGGGTGTCAGTAGATCTGCACTGTGGATGCCCGATTGATCCTGGAGAGGGTTACAGGCGCGTTCGCCTGGGGGGTTATGGGCGCACTGACCCGCTACTGAATCAAGCCCTTTTATCCCAATGGTCTAGTGGTTGGGATTCTGACATGGTATCAGAGCGAAGGTCTCGGGTTCGAATCCCAGTGTGTGCACTTCGGGCATCCCAGTGCGGGGGGGTGTTAGAGGTCCACTAGTGATCCCCGATTGATCCTAGGGAAGGGTTACAGGCATGTTGGCCTGGGGGGTTATGGGCGCACTGACCCGCTACTTAACAAGCCCTTTTATCCCAGTGGTCTAGTGACTGGGATTCTGACACACAGAATGATTAACTGGTTTCATTGTTAGCATTGCTAACCATTGCTCCTACTGCAAATACTGAGCAGTCGCCGATAAGACATCGAGGAAACATCCTCCCTTTGAAAGACACAATCTTGATAAACAATAGAAAATCCTTGTTGTCATGCCAGACGAGCTTAGACCCTGGGTTTGACTCGCTGTTAATGAGAACCTTGATTACTGATAGCTGAGATAACAACAGGTTAGACTTGAGAGTCGATACAATGTTCATCAGTTGAACACCTAGGCTGTACCAATCTCTTCGTCTTAATGAGGCGAACTCAAATCTGTTGTTCTTAAAGCTGTTGACACGTAGGCTTCACGCGCGTTGAGTTCTAGGCTACGGAAAGGTGGCCATGGCGGCCTTGGTAGTTCCATCGAAGAATTGTCAACAGGGTTTTGTGTGTATAACGGGGTTATACTGTGTTGTAATTTGGACAGTACTTCTTAGGGCGTGTCTGAAGTGCAAACGTCGAGTTTCGTCAATTTTCTGACGAGAAACGAGAATGAATGCATTCAGCAGAAAGGGGAGTACAAGTAGCAAACCCTAAAGTGTTGTACCCCATATGAACTACCCCACTACAGCCTACACAGACTATAGCATATATGCCTGACACACCCCCATAGGCAGAGTGGGGGAGAACAAGGGGTCACAAGACCAGTCAAGCAAAGCAAAGCAAGCTCAAGGTGGATCACAACGTCACCACACAGTCCGAGCACAAGAGCAAGGCCACAAGACCAGTTCACATGCAAGATCATATATATAAAGGAAAACAAGCAAGTGCAGGTATAGAAAGAGGACAGTACAAGCAAGGTCAAGAAGTGAGCAAGTGAGGCCAAGTAGGCACAAGACCTAGCACAGTACAGAAGCGCTGATGATCACAAGGCGGAAGGGCTTTGGTGAAGATATCAGCAGTGTTGGCCTCAGAGGCCACGTAGGTGAGGCGGAGCTGACCACGCTGCTGCAGCTCACGAGCCAGGAAGTAGCGGAGAGCAATGTGCTTCGTTCTGTGCTCCAGTCTGTGCTCCCGACACAAGGCCAGCATGGCCTTGTTGTCTACGTACATAATTGGAGGAGAACGAGGCGGCTCTCCTAGGTCAGTTAGCAGGTAGGTGAGCCAGCGTAACTCCTGTGCAGCCATGGCCCCTGCGTAGATCTCAGCCTCACAGCTGGAGCTGAGAACAGAAGACGAGTGGGTAGACCGCCACGAAACAGAGCCGGAGCCGAGGCTGAAGGTGTAACCCTGTGACGACCGCTGCAGAGCCTGGTCGTCAGCCCGAGAAGCGTCTGCGTAACCTGTGAGGACCACTCGACGCCGCCCTCCAAGCACTAGCCCCATGCCCGACGTACTGCACACGTAGCGCAACACCCTCTTCGGTGCAGCCATGTACTCTGGTCGATGTCTCCCACGAGCAACATAGCGTGCCAAGATGCTAAGAGGGTATGCAAGGTCAGGTCGTGTGCAGGTCATCAGGTACATGAGGCAGCCAACAAGCTCTGGGTACGGGCCACTCGGCTCTACGTGTCAGAACATTATAGCTTATACATTTGTATAGGCTGTAGTGGGGTAGCCCATAAGGGGTACAACCCAATTAGGGTTAGTACTTGTACCCAACTGTTTCATAATTCATTCATTCCATTCTCACTTCTCATCATGGTATCAGAGCAGGTTCCCGAGTGGGAATACTGCCTAGGGCCCACCAGGAACTTTTTTTTCCTTCCCTGCCCGGAGCGCGCCTAGCTCCTAACCCGAGTAGCGCCTCGAGCCGCCTTGGTGGCCCCTTTTGGCCGCCCTTACTGCCCCTCGAGCCGCCCTCTACGGCCTCGCTTAGGCCCCGCTACGGCCCCGCTTAGGCCCCGTCGGCCCCACTACGGCCCCGCTTAGGCCCCGCTACGGCCCCGCTACGGCCTCGCTACGGCCCCGTCGGCCCCGCTTAGGCCCCTCTGCGGCCCCGCTACGGCCCCGCTACGGCCCCGTCGGCCCCGTCGGTCCCGCTTAGGCCTCGCTACGGCCCCGCTACGGCCCCGTCAGCCCCGTCGGCCCCGCTACGGCCCCGCTTAGGCCCCGTCGGCCCCGCTACGGCCCCGCTTAGGCCCCGCTACGGCCCCGCTACGGCCCCGTCGGCCCCGCTTAGGCCCCGCTACGGCCCCGCTTCGGCCCCGCTACGGCCCCGTCGGCCCCGTCGGCCCCGCTTAGGCCCCGCTACGACCCCGTCGGCCCCGTCGGCCCCGCTACGGCCCCGCTTAGGCCCTGTCGGCCCCGCTACGGCCCCGCTTAGGCCCCGCTGCAGCACCGCTACGGCCCCACTTCGGCCCCGTCGGCCCCTCTACGGCCCCACTTAGGCCCCACTTCGGCCCCGTCGCCACCGCGGGGGACGGAGGTAGGGCCAGGCCCCGGAGGAAGGGGAGGGAGAGACCGAGGAAGACCAGAGACAAGGACACGGGAGGCCATGCCTCGGAGACGAGGCAAGGAGGGGTGACCAAGGCGGTGGTGCCAAAGGAGAGTCCGGTGGGACAGCAGACGACACGAGCAGGGGACGGACTCAGGACCAGACCTGGACGCCGCAGCAAACACCTGACTCGACGCAGCTACCTGGGCAGACTCAGCAGTAGGAGGAGACTCAGCAGTAAGGGTGTACAGGCTCGACCCTGGCCGACGGGTGAACGTGGCCAAGTGTCGGCCTGTCCGAGCACACCTGCAGTGGGTCACTCAATGACTCGCAGGAGTGAACTGGTCAACCCCTCGATCCTGTAGGTCCGCTCCACTCACCAAGTTCGTAGAGAACGAGGGGAGGTAGAGACCAGACAGGGTGCCAGAGGGGGCTGCAGGGCACGGAAGGACAGTGGAGAAGCTGGCAAGGACAGGACCCCTAGAGGGGTCTGCTAGGGAGACTGCAGCCGGCCGACTAAGCGGCGTAAGAGTGGTGCGGTCTCGAAAGAAGGAGCGGGACGCACCCGAGTCCAGGGTGAAGGTGTGGAAGGCCTGAGCCGACGTAGTACCTGAGAGAGCAGACTCACCAGCACCTGGGGCGGCAGACGCACTGTCACCTGGGGCAGCAGACGCACTAGCACCTAGAGCAGCAGTCTCACCAGCACCTAGCGCAGCAGCCTCAATGCCCGGGTCAGGCGGTACACACAGGTAACAGGCACCCTCAACACTATCAGCAACAGCATACATGGCAGCAAGAATAGCATCAAAGTCAAGATCAAAGATAGCAACCCCGGCCTTAGCCAGATCTCCCCAGCGAGGGATCTCTGACGCCTCAGGGAACTGGCGACGCCACGCGTCCGTCAGGCGACCAAAGCAGCGCTGGGTGGAGTGCGGACCCCCGCACTGCTCACCAGTGCGGTCGCCGGTACGGAGAACGTAAGAGCAGGGACCAAAACCCCCACCGCGCTGGCGTGAAGTGTACCACTCACGAAGCTGTTGAGGGGACAGGGTCACACCACTCCGCTGCTGCTGCTGGCGCTGACCACCACCGGCGCCACTCCTCGACGCAGAGTCGCGACTCGCTCCACCACCGCCGCCTCCGCCGCCGCCGCTGCCTCCGCCGCCTCCACCGCCTCCTCCACCTCCGCCTCCTCCACTACCTCCGCCGCCTCCGCTCCCTCCGCCACCTCCACCGCCTCCGCAGCCTCCACTGCTGCCGCCGCCGCCGCCACCCCCAGCACCACTCCCACCACCACCCCCACTCCCTCCACCGCCTCCACCACCACCTCCACCGCCCCCTCCACCTCCTCCAGTGCCCTTGCCCCCCTTGCCCTTGCCGGTGCGGCGTCTCCCGCTCGGGGCAGACGCAGCGCCGATCGACTCGAAACCAACGAGGTCGGCCGCAGCAGCAGAGGCAACAGAGGGCAAGAGGGGGGAGGGAGAACACCCCTCAAAGACGGGGGTGCGAGGGTCACCACGAGAGGCTCCTACAGCGACTATGCTCTTCTCTATCGCTAGGAGGGCCTTCTCGAGGAGGTCAACGGTAAGAGTGGTGGGGCAAACAGAGAGGAAGTGGTCCCTGACTACACAGAGAGAGTCAGGGAGACGGGTGACTATGTAGTAGAGGGTGATGTACATTGGGGGGGGGGGGTTCTTGGCGCAGAACTCAGCAGGAAGCACAGCGCGGTAGCGAGTGTCACTAGTGCAGAGGTGCATAATGAGGTCAGCAACAGTGGGAAAGGCAGCAAGGTCAGGGAAGAGGTACGGTAGCATGAGGCGGCTCAGTGCAGCAGTGGCAGGGGAAGAGTAGCGTGCAACTACAGCGTCGTACAAGGTCTGAGCACTCTTGTACTGGCTAAAGTGTGCACGCTCAGTGGTCGGTAAGTGGCGGCGCACAGCAAGGCAAGCAGCAGCGATACGTGTGGCCCATTGTGAGCGAACAGTGGCGTCAGCATCAGCAGCAGGGGCAGGGGAGGCACCAGAAATGAGGTCAAACAGGGAGAGGCCGTCTGCCCTATCGCACTGCAGGAAAAGCTGCAGATCATCTACCCAGACCTCAAAGTCCACTGCCCGACCCTCAGCGTCAAAGGTGAGAACGCTAGGGGAAGCCATAACAGCAGGAGGCAGGGCACTGCAGTGGTAGAGACTGTGCTCTTACCAGGTAGGTGGAGCGATCGGGCTGCTCGGCGGCTCGGCTGTCGGGCGACTCGGCTGCAGGGCGGCTCGGCTGCTGGGCGGCTCGGCTGCTGAGCGGCTCGGCTGCTAGTGCGGGGCGGTCTACCCGCTCGTCCTCTGTTCTCAGCTCCAGCTGTGAGGCTGAGATCTACACAGGGGCCATGGCTGCACAGGAGCTACGCTGGCTCACCTACCTGCTGACTGACCTAGGAGAGCCGCCTCGTTCTCCTCCAGTTCTGTACGTAGACAACAAGGCCATGCTGGCCTTGTGTCGGGAGCACAGACTGGAGCACAGAACGAAGCACATTGCTCTCCGCTACTTCCTGTCTCGTGAGCTGCAGCAGCGTGGTCAGCCCCGCCTCACCTACGTGGCCTCTGAGGCCAACACTGCTGATATCTTCACCAAGGCCCTTCCGCCTTGTGATCATCAGCGCTTCTGTACTGTGCTAGGTCTTGTGCCTACCTGGCCTCACTTGCTCACTTCTTGATCTTGTTTGTACTGTCTTCTTTCTATACATGCCCTTGCTTGTTTTACCTTTATATATATGACCTTGCATGTGAACTGGCCTTGTGGCCTTACTCTTGTGCTTGGACTGTGTGGTGACTTTGTGATCCACCCTGAGCTTGCTTTGCTTTGCTTTGCTTTGCTTGACTGGTCTTGTGACCACTTGTTCTCCCCCACTTTGCCTATGGGGGTGTGTCAGAACATTATAGCTTATACATTTGTGTAGGCTGTAGTAGGGTAGCCCATAAGGGGTACAACCCAATTAGGGTTAGTACTTGTACCCAACTGTTTCATAATTCATTCATTCTATTCTCACTTCTCGTCACGACGGACTCATCCAAAGGCAGAGCTGAGAGCGAGTGGCGAGTAGACAGAGGAGTGGCCTGAGGCGAGGAGTACGTGAAGCCGAAGCGCTGAAGGACCTGCTGCACCATGTGTGACTGAGTCAGGGTAATGGTGCGCTGTGCTCTGTCCCGGGTGATCTGCAAGCCAAGGTAGCTGCGCAGTTCACCAAGGTCTGTGCACGTGTGTCTCTTCTGCAGCTCCGACTTCACGTGGGCGAGTCCAGCAGTGTCAGCAGTGGCAAAGACCAAGTCGTCGATGTACACGAGGATGTAGAACGGCGGCAAAGAAGTGTCGGTGCGCAGAAACAGCGACGGGTCGGCTGTAGAAGGAGCAAACCCAAGAGCCGCAAGTGTAGTCCTCAGTGTGTCGTGCCACTCACGGGGCGCCTGGCGGAGACTGTAGACTGGCCGCCGGAGGCTCCACTGGGTACCAGGAGGAAACGACCCAGTAAAGCCAGGTGGGCGCGGCAGCCAGATCTCCTCGTGCAGGCTGCCCTGCAGGAAAGCTGTGCTGAAGTCAAGAGAGTGAAGCTCGTAGTCGCGCTGAGCAGCTATGTGCAGCAGCACCCAAAGAGTGGTCATCTTCGGGGTGGGAGAGAAGGTCTGAAAGTAGTCAACTCCCTGCCGCTGACTGAAGCCTCGAGCCACGTAACGCGGCTTGAAGACAGGCGGAGAACCCGGCGGCCGCCTCACCCTGAAGATCCACATGCCACTGACGATGTTCACCCCAGGTGGGGGAACCTCGTCAACGTAGGTGCCTGTGGACTTCCAGGAAGCCATCTCTGCGTCCATGGCCGACTGCCACTGAGAGGAGTAGGGACCCTCGATCGCCTCAGCGTACGATCGAGGAGTCGGGATGTCTGGTGCATCCGGGTCTCCCTCAAGGGCAATCAGCGTGGACACGAGATGGGGCAAAGCAGCAGCAAAGCACTGGAAGTCCTCCTGCCTGTCCTCAAGGACGTCCGTGCTAAGAGCACACTCACCCCCGACGGACGGAGGACAAACAGACTCAGACTCAGCAACGAGACTAGCAGCGTAGTCTAGACGACAGCGAGCAGCGAAGTCGACAAGCTCAGCAACTAGGGCAGACGCAGCAGTGGACTCAAAGGAAGGGTCAGTGACAACAGTAGCCAGAAGACGCGTGACAGAAGGACTAGCAGCACGAAGAGAGTCAGACTCCGAGTCAGCAAGAGTAGGAAGAGAGGACTCTAGAGGAGACGGTAACGGGACACGCTGTGGAGCAGTGGAAGGACGCAGCGCCATCTGGTGTGTGCCGGGGACCGCAGGAGGACGCGGACGCGCAGTATGACCACTAGTGCAAGCAGCACGAACAGGCGACGCAGGACGAGACGCAGGCTCACGACGCTCAGCAAGACATCCAGTAGGACCAGTGTAGGGAGAAGGAGCAGGTAGAGGGGAGGCAGGCTGTAACTATTACTGGGACTGGATAGGCTGTGGACACTCTAAGGGAGGAGCAGGACCATTAGAGGGCGGGAGACCAAGAACCTGCTCCAAGAGCGGAACGAAGTACGGCCTCGGCCGCGCAGCGCCTCCAGAACCAGCAAGGATAGCACCGGTCCCCGCAGCGGCAGCACCAGCGCCAGCAGCACCCAGCTCCAACAGCGCCAACTCCAGCACCCTCAGAAGCACTAGCGCCAGCAGTACCGCCAGCGCCAACACCCCCAGCAGCTCCAGCTCCAGCAGCCTCAGCAGCACCCCCAGACGCACCAGCGCCAGTAGAAACACTAGCGCCAACACCCCCAGCAACTCCAGCTTCTGCAGCACCAGCACCGCCAGCAGCTCCAGCAGGACCAACTCCAGTGGCCCCAGCAGCTCCAGGACCGCCAGTACGAGCACCTCCGGGACCAGCTGCAACAGGAGCACCTCGAGCTCCAGCAGCACGTCCCCAGCGGCGGGCAAACCACTCGCGCAGCTCCTGTGGAGAGAGCGGCTCCCGCCTCGACGAAGCACCGCCGGCGGCCACACCAGCAGACCCAGCGCCCCCAGGCTCCGCACCCCCAGGCTCCGCACCCCTAGACCCAGCACCCCCAGGCTCAGCACCCCCAGACTCAGCACCCCCAGACTCAGCACCCCCAGACTCAGCACCCCCAGTCTCAGCACCCCCAGTCTCAGCACCCCCAGACCCGGCACCCGCAGGCTCAGCACCTCTAGCAGCACCAGAGTCAACAGCTACCTCGACAGGCTCGACTGCGTCCACCTGGGACACACCTGACGGGGCAGGACCCTGAGGGGGGAGGGGGTCTACCGAGGGAGGACCTGGCGCAAGGAAGAGCGGCGGCGGGGGGAGGGGCGCAGTGCAGTAGGGGAAGAGACGGTAGTAAGGCACCGACTCGTCAAAGGTGACGTCCTGGGAGGACAGAACACGGCGCGAGGTGGGGTGGTAATACTGCCAACCAGGCGCGTCAGGGGGGAAGCCAAGGAAGACGCAAGGAACAGCACGGGGGGACAGCTTGTCCGCAGACAAGTCGCGGACAAACGCCCGAGATCCCCAGACCCGAAACGCAGACGCATCGCCAACCTTCCCGGTCCACCGCAAGGCGGGGGAGGTCTCTGGCGGAGTGCAGACGCAGAACAGGAAAGTCCGAGCCGAAACTCTCCCTGAGCTGGAGACGAGCTGCGCGGATCCAATCGATCAACACCTCAGTGACGTCACCCTTGCTGCGGAAGGGGAAGACTGTGGTGTAACGCGAGTAGTCGTCAACCACCAGCAGGAAGTACTGCTCGCGCCCCTGCCCACTAACGCGGGCGGGGCCCCACACGTCCATGTGGAGAGTCTGCAGCGGAGCCTCTGTCGGAGGAAACTCGGAGGAGTGAGGGGCGGCGCGCTGTCGCCCCTCGACGCAGGGGACGCAGGTAGGGCCAGGCCCCGGAGGTAGGGGAGGGAGAGACCGAGGGAGACCAGAGACAAGGACACGGGAGGCCATGCCTCGTAGACGAGGCAGGGAGGGGTGACCAAGGCGGTGGTGCCAAAGGAGAGTCTTGTGGGACAGTAGACGACACGAGCAGGGAGCAGACTCAGGACCAGACCTGGACGCTGCAGCAAACACCTGACTCGACGCAGCTACCTGGCCAAACTCAGCAGCCGGAGGAGACTCAGTAGTAAGGGTGTACAGGCTCGACCCTGGCCGACGGGTGAACGTGGCCAAGTGTCGGCCTGTCCGAGCACACGTGCAGTGGGTCACCCGCTGACTCGCAGGGGTGAACTGGTCAACCCCCCTATCCTGTAGGTCCGCTCCACTCACCAAGTTTGTAGAGAACGAGGGGAGGTAGAGACCTGACAGGGTGCCAGAGGGGGCTGCCGGGCACGGCAAGACTGTGGAGAAGCTAGCAAGGACAGGACCCCCAGAGGGGTCCGCCAGGGAGACTGCAACCGGCCGACTGAGCGGCGTAAGAGTGGTGCGGTCTCGAAAGAAGGAGCGGGACGCACCCGAGTCAAGGGTGAAGGTGTGTAAGGCCTGAGCCGACGTAGTACCTGAGAGCGCAGACTCACCAGCACCTGGGGCAGCAGACGCACTGGCACCTGGGGCAGCAGACGCACGAGCACCTAGAGCAGCAGCCTCAATGCCCGGGTCACGCGGTACACACAGGTAACAGTCACCCGCAACACTATCATCAACAGCAAACATGGTAGCAGGAATAGCATCAAAATCAAGATCAAAGATAGCAACCCCCGCCCTAGACAGCTCTCCCCAGCGAGGGATCTCAGAGGCCCCAGGGAACTGGTGACGCCACGCGTCCGTCAGGCGGCCGAAGCAGCGCTGGGTGGAGTGCGGGCCCCCGCACTGCTCACCAGCGCGGTCGCAGGTGCGGAGATCGTAGGTGCAGTGACCCGTACCCCCACCGCGCTGACGCGCAGCGTACCACTCACGAAGCTGCTGAGGGGACAGGGTCTCACGAGTGCTCTGCTGCTGCTGGCGCGTACCACCGCCGGAGCCACTCCTCTGCGCAGAGCCGCGACCAGGTCCACTGCTGCCGCCGAGGCCTCCGCCGCCTCCTCCGCCACCTCCGCCGCCTCCGCTCCCTCCTCCACCACCGCCGCCTCCTCCGCCTCCACTGCTGCCGCTGCCGCCGCCACCCCCGCCACCACTCCCACCACCACCCCCACCCCCTCTACTACCTCCACCACCACCTCCACCGCCCCCGCCAGCCCCTCCAGTGCCCTTGCCCCCCTTGCCCTTGCCGGTGCGGCGTCTCCCGCTAGGGGCAGACGCAGCGCCGATCGACTCGAAACCAACGAGGTCGACCGCAGCAGCAGAAGCAACAGAGGGCAAGAGGGGGGAGGGGGTACACCCCTCAAAGACGGGGGTGCAAGGGTCACCACGAGAGGCTCCTACAGTGACTATGCTCTTCTTTGCTGCTAGGAGGCCCTTCTCGAGGAGGTCAACGGTGAGAGTGGTGGGGCAAACTGAGAGGAAGTGGTCCCTGACTACGCGAAGAGAGTCAGGGAGCCGGGTGACTATGTAGTAGAGGGTGATGTACATTGGGGGGGGGGGGTTCTTGGCGCAAAAATCAGCAGAAAGCGCAGCGCGGTAGCGAGTGTCACTAGTGCGGAGGTGCGTAATGAGGTCAGCGACTGTGGGAAAGGCAGCAAGGTCAGGAAAGAGGTACGGTAGCATGAGGCGGCTCAATGCAGCAGTGGCAGGGGAAGAGTAGCGTGCAACTACAGCGTCGTACAAGGTCTGAGCACTCTTGTACTGGCTAAAGTGTGCACGCTCAGTGGTCGGTAAGTGGCGACGCACAGCAAGGCGAGCAGCAGCATCGCGTGTGGCCCACTGTGAGCGAACAGTGCTGTCAGCAGTGGCAGGCGGGGCAGGAGAGACACCAGAGGTGAGATCGAACAGAGAGAGTCCGTCTGCCCTATCGCACTGGAGAAACAGCAGGAGGTCATCGACCCAGACCTCAAAGTCAACGGCACGACCCTCAGCATCAAAAGTAAGGACACTAGGGGTAGCCATGACTGTAGTGGCCTAGCAGGAAGTGAGCTCACCAGTCCGAGGAAGGAGGGCCGGGGAGCACCGGTAGGAACAGCAGCGGCTCGACAGTAGGGTGGCTCGGCGGCTCGGCGGCAGGGCGGCTCGGCTGCTAGGCGACTCGGCTGCTGGGCGGCTCGGCGGCAGGGCGGCTCGGCTGCTGGGCGGCTCGGCGGCAGGGCGGCTCGGATGCTGGGCGGCTCGGCGGCAGGGCGGCTCGGCTGCTCGGCGGCTCGGTCGTTGGGCGGCTGAGCGGTGACAGGGCCGCTAGGGGAGGGCGACGGGGCCGCAGGTGACGGCGACGGGGCCGTAGGTGGCGGCGAGGCCACAGGTGGCGGCTGCGTGGCCGCAGGTGGCGGCGACGGGGCCGCAGGTGGTGGCGACGGGGCCGCTGGTGGCGGCGACGGGGCCGCACGTGGCGGCGACGGGGCCGCAAGGGGCCTAGACGGGGCCGCGGAGGGGCCGTAAGGGGCCTAGACGGGGCCGTAGCGGGGCCGCAAGGGGCCTAGACGGGGCCGCGGAGGGGCCGTAAAGGGCCTAGACGGGGCCGTAGCGGGGCCGCAAGGGGCCTAGACGGGGCCGCGGAGGGGCCGTAAGGGGCCTAGACGGGGCCGTAGCGGGGCCGCAAGGGGCCTAGACGGGGCCGCGGAGGGGCCGTAAGGGGCCTAGACGGGGCCGTAGCGGGGCCGCAAGGGGCCTAGACGGGGCCCCGGAGGGGCCGTAAGGGGCCTAGACGGGGCCGTAGCGGGGTCGCAAGGGGCCTAGACGGGGCTGTAAGGGGCCGGAAAGGGCGCCGCGAGGGGCCGAAAGGGGTTGCGCGAGGGCCGTAAGGGCGACGCGAGGGGCCTTAAGGGGCCGTAAGGGGCCGTAAGGGCGGCGCGAGGGGCCGTAAGGGCGGCCAAAGGGGCCGTGAGAGGGGCCACTAAGGGCTGCTCGAAGGTAGGGAGGGCACACAGAGCGCGACTCGGGCAGGAGTGAAGCGCGCTCCGGGCAGGAAAAAATAAGTATTGTGGTAGGCCCTAGGTAGCGTTCCCACTAGGGAACCTGCTCGATACCATGACGAGAAATGAGAATGAATGCATTGAGTAGAAAGGGGAGTACAAGTAGCAAACCCTAAAGTGTTGTACCCCATATGAACTGCCCCACTACAGCCTACACAGACTATAGCATATATGCCTGACATTTTCGTCGACGAAACTCATCCGTCAGACCCACACGTGTTGGTGTCTGAAGTGCAGCCTGACATCCTTCGACGAAACTCGACGTTCATACACATGTCGAGGGATGTTGGACAGTGATACCATGCAGCTGTTTGAGTTACTGTAGTCTGTGAGTGCTTAAAAAACAATTCTTCGACACGGCATGTCTGCATGGCTGCTAGCAAACACACGTGACTAAGAACTAAGAAGAGAGCGTCACGTGCTAGTGATATGTCGCTGACAATGTGACAGTAGAATATCCGGTGTTACCAACAATTATCTATTGTAAGGAATTTCCCTAATTCCTTACTGAGGCACTCATCACGCGTTCAATTCCAACTTTTCGGAGTTCAGGCTCGGTCCGTCGACCTTGCCTTCCGAACGTCCTCCGCGTCGCCTTCGGGTCTCCCAACCCCAAACCTGCACCCAACCTTCGCGAGACTCCGCGACCTCGGCCTAACTAGCCTTGCTATATTATGCCTAGGCCTCGTTGTTTGCTAAGTAGTTTGAAATCACTTCCGCGTTATTGAATACTGCGCACTCTTCTTTCGTACAACTCATAACACGGCTAAGCGAAATTAGCGAGATTACAAACATTTGAGTTACATTAATGATTCTGTTAATTCCACGTCGGATTTTCATGGGCAACTTATAACAGTGTTCATATGGCACGTGTGGGTTGTTATGTCGTGTGGGTGTCTGAAGTGCACAAAGCTGAAAACGGATGTCGATTTTCGTCGAGGAACGTCGACGAAACTTTCGTCGGCAAACGCCGAAATTCACTTCAGACACGCCCTTAATGGGTGATCAAAGTGCTGCACAAGCTCGACGTCGAGGGATATCGGTGAATGTCAACCTTCGGATCGAAAGTTCCAACCGTCAGGATTCACCGCGTGGCAAGATGTTGCGAAAAGGAGCAGAGGTGCGTGGCGGACGCCAACAAGGATATTTAATACGGACGACGCCGCTGGATCCCAATCGACCCATCAGACAACGCAGATCTTCCAACAAGGCAAGTCCAGGTCTATTGAGCTTTCCAGCGCACCTTTGCTGGATTCGAGTCACATGGCCTGCTTCGTCGTGACGCACATCCAGCTTACTGAGGAGTTTTCGGCGCTTTTCCCTCGCGGTATTTTGTCCCCTTCCTCCCGCCCGCTGTCCCTCTCTTTGTCCCGCAGCTGCAGCCAAATCCACAGTTCAGTACACTACAGCCAAATCCCCCGATGGCAGAAAGAGGAGGGGTCAGCTGTGTGCAGAGGGACGGAAATGGGAGGGGAGAGGAGGGAGGGTGGAGGGTGGAAAGAAGTGGGAGGACGGAAGTTTCCGGGGCGTTGGGAAAGTTGGGAGGATGGGGGGACCACGCGACAGAGGAAGGTGTCGTGTCGTAACGGTAAAAGCATTTAGCAAGGGCACATGTAAATTCAAGTGAACACTCAGTTGGTCAGGTGATGCTGCCCAACCGAGAAATCATGCATATGTACAATTTATCTCTACAATACACCTAACCACCGCTATTTTTAAGGGGAAGCCCAGCCCACTAATCTCGCGTTTCAAAGTTACCCTGCACGTTTTTGACTATTTCGGCCGACAAGCGACCCCGCCCGGATGAGCTCGCTGCCCGCGGGCAAAAAAAATAAACCCCAGTCGGGCATGCATCCGGTCAGGGAGGCATCAACCCTTAACACAGGGAGGCATGGATTTAGGGTTGATGCCCCCCTCGGATGGCATGCCATCCGATGGGGTTTTAGTTTTTTTCTGCCCGTCGGTCAGGTCGACGCTCCGTGGACCACCGTCGGACCCCGTTTGGTTGACACATTTAGTTCGATACTTTGATGACTGGGGCTATGAATGACGCCTAATGCTCGAAGTTTCAACTCATTCTGCGAATCTGAATCCATAGCGCAATTCTACAGTTCTCTCTTCGGGAATCTGGAACAGACTCTCGCTATAATTTAATGATGCCCCACACAACCCTCGGTCAAAAATTTAGAAAGGGTGCATACCCCACTTGTGCAAGTGGGGTTGAAAATATACCGAAAGAAAATAGCGGTGGTTAGGTGTACCAAGGGACACAAACATACAACATAGCGGTGGAACATCAGCGCGTATGCTTTCTGTTTTTCCGACCGAGAAAAGCATGGTCAATCGGACAAGATTTTCCCACCTGTCGGAGCTGTACACCCAAACCAGCTTGAGCTACGGAACCGAACCTCCTGTCCCAGTAGCCACGGCCACGACGCCAAACCACCCACCATGCCGTCTATACTAAACCGAGCCGCCACAATTTTCTACCCGCCGCGATAACATCATTCCCCCTCACAAGCGGACTGTCACAGTGTATACACCAGACCAGATGACAGCTTGATAGTTTCAAGGTTCAACACTTGGATAAAAATTCACACCACCCCCCTCCCCCCAACCCATTTTTTGTGTAGTAACTGATCAGGGGAACGAAATATTCGGTTCTGTCTTTCATACGCGTGGCTCCGAGCGACGCACCTTTGAAAGGAGGGAGACCTCTGCCGCGAAGGTCGCGGCGCAAAAGTCTCCTATCTACCCTTCTTTTGATCTGTGCTTCCTCAGCTTGAGGCGCTCGATGCTCTACGTTTGTCGCCCGTCTCTACTGCAAAAAACCCATCGATTCTACTGTCAGCTGGTTGCTCCACTGACTGTCGCCATGTGCGTAAGCGACGACACGAGATTGGCGCCGTCTTCTTCGCCAATTTTTGCTAATTCCACTTTCGCGACAGCTTCCGACGAGGAGCGGCGGCGGCCATTGGATGCGTGTACGGGCGTGAGCGCGGAGTCGCCGCGGGCTCTCGCACCGAAATTCTCCGCGGGATGGTCACGGCTGTCGCACGCGCTGGGCGCCAGTCGCGCGCCGAGCAGCACCCGCACAGGCGGCGCCGCTGAAACACCGTCGTCCGGCGCCGCCGCCGCATCATCGCTCCCACCGTCAGCCGGCGCACGTCAGCATCCGTCAACCGGCGGCACTGTCGGGTTGCCGCGGCGGGAGCCATCAAAGGACGCGGAGCCGGCGCTTCTGCTGCTGCCTGACGGCTCCGTCCAAATCGTGTGCTCCTCGCAGCCTTCCGCCGCACACAGCCAGACCCAGACCCAGACCCGGGCTCAAACTCCGAGGAAGAACGCCAATGGCGCCCGTGTCTCATCCCGCGCCGCGGCTTCGACAGACAGCTATTCAACAACCAGCAATTCATTTGAGCCGATTCCCCGCAGTGATTCTCGGAGGGCTACACGCGTGAGCGACGTGCTTCAGGATCACCCGGGCTGTAAGGTGGGCTCGCTGACGTCATCGCACGGCCCCTTCCTGCGCCCGCAGCACGTGCTAAAGCCCGGCCACGTGTACTTCCTCCAGCCGCCCCTGGCGCTCCCGGCTCCCCATGATCATGGAACCCCTGTTTCCGGCAATGGCGATGCGGACTTCGACGGCAGTGGCTCTACAGCGCTGCTTATCCAGGACGTGGATGCTTGTAACGAGGATGATTTGGATAACGGGCGTCGTTGCCTGGAGGACGTGGTTGCAAGCTTTTCTGGGAGCTCTGGCAGGAGGTTTGAATCTGATGTGGCAAGCAACAGCGGAAACTCTGCTGAAATTGAAATATTTTCAATGTCTGCACGCTCATTTGATTCATTCTCAACGCTCTCGGCGGGCACAGCGGGCACAACGGGCACTTCAAGCGTGCAGGACGCACTCTTGCTGCCCCCGTTTCCCTCTTCATCCCTCTACCGCACCCCATGTGCCTGTTGCAACGACGGTCTGCCGTCCGCCTCCACTTCACACTCCGCTCACTCCCTCACCCACGCACACTCCCTCCCACACTCTGTATCTTCGGCCATGCGTGCTCCATCCCCATCAGCACTCCCCCCCATGGCTCCAACATCCCCATTCGCTGACTCGCCACGCGGCCCGTCCCGCTCAACCAGAGGCCACAGCCGCCTAGGACAACAGTATGCCCCCACTTTCCCAGAATATTCCATACATCCCGTGACTGTCGCCGCCGCCGCCGCCGCCCACACGTTCGCGTCTGCTGCCGCCCACACGTTTACGTCTGCTGCCGGGAAAGAGAGCTGCTCATCTCACCTGATGCATCGTGGCTGGTGTGCGGCACGTCGCGGTGCAAACCCGGAGTCCTGGACTGGCAGGGTTGGCATGACTGGCAACAGCTGGATCAACTGCAACAGCAGCACAGGCACAGGTGCTGCGGAAGCTATGGAGAATCACCAGGCCATTTTTGAAGCTCTGGAATCAGCCAGCAGCACTCCGGCCAGGAGGTTCGGCAGCTGCGACGGCAACGGTAACAGCAGCATCAGCATCGGCAGCAGTAGCAGCAGCAGCAGCAGCAGCAGCAGCAGCAGCAGCAGCAGCAGCAGCAGCAGCAGTAGCATCACCCAGCAGATGAGACATGTACCATTCCGCGTGCGAGGGAGGGCGGTGGTCACGGCAGAGGACATGGTGTTCGGCCGTGTTGGGCCCACTGTCGCCTGAATGTACTCGTGAGTTTCACTATCACTTCGCCTTGCATTGGTTTTAACTGTTAACCAGGGTGTGCCAGTCAACGGATTCATGAACAAGCCATCCTGGATTGATGATGCGAGAGGGCCTTGTTTCCAGCCAGAGCTGTGATTGAAGCGTGGCTAAGAATATCTGAAGGAATATATTAGAGTGCGTAGCGATAGCGAGAGAGTCTTTGCTATGGGAATGATGTTGCGCCAGCAACTTGGTAGAGTTTTGGTAGCGTTTGCCTCTAAGGACTTGAGAATTGAAGTAGCATTTGGGCCAAGTAGAATTGCAATATCAACTATCAAACACACAAGCAAACACAAACATATATAGGCAAGCACGAGTTGCACAATTGTTGCGTGGCGCTGCGAGTAACCCAACCCAACCCACACGAAAGTGCTGTGCAGGTGGGTGAACGCGCCCCGCACATTTCCAACCCAACTCGGCACCGGAATGTCTCACCGTGCACGCTAATCCTGCCAACACAGCAAGTGAGCAGCATGCCTCACAAGCAAGGCACCTACGACCCCCAAGACTCGTCATTCCTAGCACCGATTCCGCCGAGTTCGCTGCAGTAGCTCACAGTCACCCGTAGTCACTAATGACCGCCACCGAACTCGTGCGTCGATGCCGAGTAGACTCAGTCGTTAGGCGCCGACCTGCCAAGTCAAAGGTCATCGAGGGCCCTTGCTGTCGTAGGGCCCTCTAACATGTTGGGAACAAATAAGTTAAGCGCCTCTGTCGTGTCAGTACTCAAGACACAAAACGAAGCAGCTCAAGTCGAAGCAGCGCGAGTCAACCAACGAGGTTAACGTAACCGTCGGAGGTTACGGGAAAGTCAAAGGGCAGCGACCTTTGACCTGACGCAGCGCGACAGCAAGGACAAACAACTGACTCGACATTGAGCAGTTGCCCGAGTCGCACTGTATCGAACCGCAACAGTAAAATTAGTTATAATGTCTCTTCATATTCTCTGTACTCGTCTATTTATATTCTTGTATCTCTTTGCTTTTATCAACTTACTTTGCCCTCACATACTAGCGCAAGGTGGTTCAAGAGCTTTATTCAACGCTTCCGCTATTACAACATCTACTCAGACTTTAACTCTACAAAGATCCTAGGGCGTTTCAGCCCAACATGGTATGAGAGCAGTTAGAGTTAAAATTCATTATTCAACACTCAGTACATCAAAGAAGACATGTCTGCTAGAAAGGAGAGGAGCTTCTCCAACGGCTCTCCCGGTACTACCCCTACTCCACCACCTGCCTCTGGCCTGCTGACAGAGGAGGGGACAACGACGAGACCAGCAGCTGGGTCTACGGAAACACCCGCAAACCAAGGCGCGGGCTTCGATCCAAGCATGATGGAGAAATTTTTCTCCTTCATGTCCTTCTACGAGCAGCACCAGCAAGGAGCACCTGCGCAATCAAACAACAGCAACAACAACAACAACGTGACGCCTATGAGTCTCGATGGCTCATCCTACGCGCGCGGGAATCAACATCAACAACCCACCTTTGCTCCGTACGAGCCCCAGCGTGGCTCCGTCAGCTTTATGCCGCAACCACAACCTGCACCGGGACAAGAGAGAGCACTGGACGCATTACAAGTTCAGTCGCAATTCGCGCACGTTTTAAAGCTGCAAACGACAAAGCCCTTTGACGGAAAAGACTTCTTCACCTGGTCTTTCGAATTCGAGCTGATGATGGAAGGAGCGCAAATCCTTGGCTTCTTCGACGGGTCCCTGCCATATCCAACAAACGGCACACAGTATGAGAAGCAGCAGTATACTTATCAATCAATGATGGCGCACACTATACTACTGAGGAACATTACCCCGACCCAACAGCAGAACATCAGGCCTTACCGAGGCTACGGCAACTCCGCGGAGCTCGCGTACAACCACCTGAAGAACCTGTATCAAGCAACAGACAGTGTAAACCAAAGCCGGTTAATGGCGCAGCTGACAACAATCGAAATGAAGCCAGGCGAGAAAGGCATGGAGTATATCAGTCGCTGCCGCGAGCTGCGCGACAGGCTCCTTCGATGTGGAGGTTCAATTTCAGAAGACGCCTTCGTCACGGTCGTCATCGGCGGTCTCGGCCCTCACTGGCGCTCCACTCGCGCCATATTACGAGCACACGGAAGAATCTCCGAAGCGGCACTCTGCGCCGAAATCCACGCCGAGCAGCAGGATATGGACCTGCAAGAAGAACGACATAAGAAAAAGGCATCAGTACCAGAATTCGCCTTTCACACCCGGCGACGCTACAACAATAGCAACACTCGACAGCAACAACAACCGAAGCCAGTACCTCCTTTTTGCCATATATGCAAGACTTCAGGACATCCTCGCACTCACTGCCCGTATCGTCATCAATCGACAGCACCACAGCGACAACTCCGACCTTCGAGCGGCCAAGTCACCTCGACGCAAGCAGCCCCAACAACTTCAGTCCAAGCTTCAACGACTCCAACAGGACAACCTGCGCAAAAACCAAGGAATATCGTCAACTGCATGGTAAAGATAACCGACTCCTCCACAACCGAGTCACCACCGTACTACTCACCCGAAGAACAACTTGATAACAGCACGCTTCGCCGCGAGTCTCTTCAACCGAATCCGACGTACGCCGCCATTGCTCAAAGTGAACCATCCGGGAAAGATACTTGGTTCTTGGACAGTTGCTGCGGACAACACATGTGCTCTTCGGGACGCTTCGTCCAACGCGAACATCGACTTCAACGAGAGGTCGTCATCACAGTTGCCAACAATCAGAACCTGCGCACACGACGACAAGGAGTGGTACAGCTTCAGTCCAGGGAGACTAATGTTATACTACACATGTCAAATGTACTAATAGCAGAAGGACTCGGCTACAACTTACTGAGCGTGAGCCAGTTGATGGCGAAGAGCATCCACCTGGAAGCCGACAGCACCACCCAGGAATTTAAATTATATCACGGGAAAGGCGGCCTTTACATCGGGAAGGCAGTTCTGAAGAACAACGTCTTCGTCCTGGATTTCGTCCCGGACTTGGGCACCGCAGACAGCGACGCTATTGTTAACTTCACGGACTGGACGCACCTGAGAAAGTACGAACGAGAAGTGAAATGACTATGAACGAAGTGAGTACAAATAGGAAACCCTAAGTGGGTTGTACCCCCTATGGGATACCCCACTATAGCCTACAGAAACAAGTAAGCTATAAGTTCTGACACACCCCCATAGGCAAAGTGGGGGAGAACAAGGGGTCACAAGACCGGTCAAGCAAAGCAAAGCAAAGCTCAGGGTGGATCACAAAGTCACCACGCATTCCGAGCACAAGTTCAAAGGCCACAAGGCCAGTTCACATGCAAGATCATATATAGAGATATACAAGAGCAAGAGTATATATATGCGAAAGTACAGGCAAGGTCATAAGGAGAGCAAGTGAGGCAAGACAGGCACAAGACCCAACTGCGTGCAGCAACGCTGATGATCACAAGGCGCAAGTGCCTTGGTGAAGACATCAGCAGTGTTGGCCTCAGAGGCCACGTACGCAAGTCGCAGCTGTCCACGCTGCTGTAGCTCACGAGCAAGAAAGTAGCGAAGAGCAATGTGCTTCGTTCTGTGCTCCAGTCGCTGCTCTCGACACAAGGCCAGCATGGCCTTGTTGTCTACGTACAGGACTGGAGGAGAACGAGGCTGCTCTCCAAGGTCGGTCAGCAGGTAGGTGAGCCAGCGTAACTCCTGTGCAGCCATAGCCCCAGCGTAGATCTCAGCCTCACAACTGGAGCCGAGAACAGAAGACGAGCGGGTAGCCCGCCACGAGACAGAGCCGGAACCAAGGCTGAAGGTGTAACCCTGTGACGACCGCTGCGTAGCCTGGTCGTCAGCCCAAGAAGCGTCTGCGTGCCCAGTGAGGACCACTGGACTGCGCCCTCCAAGCACTAGCCCCATGCCCGACGTACTGCACAAGTAGCGCAACACCCTCTTCGCTGCAGCCATGTGCTCTGGTCGGTGTCTCCCAGGAGCAACAAAGCGTGTGAGAATGCTAAGAGGGTATGCGAGGTCAGGTCGTGTGCAGGTCATCAGGTACATGAGGCAGCCAACAAGCTCTGCAAACGGGCCACTCGACTCTACGGACTCATCCGAAGGCAGAGCTGAGAGCGAGTGGCGAGTAGGCAGAGGAGTGGCCTGAGGCGAGGAGTACGTGAAGCCGAAGCGCTGAAGGACCTGCTGCACCATGTGTGACTGAGTCAGGGTAATGGTGCGGCGTGCTCTGTCCCGGGTGATCTGCAAGCCAAGGTAGCTGCGCAGTTCACCCAGGTCAGTGCACGTGTGTCTCTTCTGCAGCTCGGACTTCACGTAGGCGAGTCCAGCAGTGTCAGCTGTGGCAAAGACCAAGTC